TCCAGGGATCCCATCACAATGGTTGTACTCTTCAAGTCACTTGTTTTGTCCCGTCTCGAGTACTGCTCAGTACTCACTTCCCCCTTCAGAGCAGGAGAGACTGCTGAAATAGAGGGAATACTGAGAACATATACGGCACGCATAGACGAGATAAAGCCCTAAATTATTGGGATCGTCTGAAAGTTCTCCAAATGTACTCACTAGAAAAGAGACGAGAGAGATACCAAATAATATTCACGTGGAAAATACTGGAGGGCCAGGTCCCAAATCTACACAGTAAAATAACAACGTACTGGAGTGAACGATATGGAAGAAAATGCAGAATAGAACCAGTGAAAAGCAGAGGTGCCTGCCATAGGCACAATCAGAGAACACTGTATAAACATCAGAGGTCCGCGGTTGTTCAACGTCCTACCAGCGAGCATAAGAAATATTGCCGGAACAACCGTGGACATCTTCAAGAGGAAACTAGATTGTTTCCTCCAAGGAGTGCCGGACCAACCGGGCTGTGGTGGGTATGTGGGCCTGCGGGCCGCTCCAAGCAACAGCCTGGTGGACCAAACTCTCACAAGTCAAGCCTGGCCTCGGGCCGGGCTTGGGGAGTAGAAGAACTCCCAAAACCCCATCAACCAGGTACCACCTGCCTCACTACCTGTTCACCATCTGCCTCACCACCTGCTTCACCATCTGCTTCACCACCTGCCTCACCACCTGCGTTACCACCTGCGTCACCACCTGCGTCACCACCTGCTTCACCACCTGCGTTACCACCTGCGTCACCACCTGGTGAGAAAGTAGAGTCTTATGCCACAATAGCCTACATTATCGCTTACTGTGATTTGTATCAATCATCTGTGGTGTAAACAGCACCCTCAACACTCAAGTGCATGCTCCCACTACGCACTCAACCTCACACTTGAGTCCTTCACTTACAGTCCTCGTGGACTGTCCCATCACCAGTCCAGTTCTCTTACACTTCTTCTTCTTTGACTAATATTTAATTTAAATTAAACGACAAACAATATAGTTAAAGATTTTAACAGTTGTATTAAGGCAAATTCCCCCGTGTCAGTGTTCCATACACCACGACCACTTCTCCCGTGTCAGTGTTCCATACACCACGACCACTTCCCCCGTGTCAGTGTTCCATACACCACGACCACTTCCCCCGTGTCAGTGTTCCATACACCACGACCACTTCTCACGTGTCAGTGTTCCATACACCACGACCACTTCTTACGTGTCAGTGTTCCATACACCACGACCACTTCCCCCCGTGTCAGTGTTCCATACACCACGACCACTTCCCCCGTGTCTTGGAGACCTCAACGACTGACCAAACTGCCTCCAAGCTGCTGGACACCTGGAAGTCATAAAGTTATTTTGCCGCTGTGATTCCGAGCGCAGTCACCAGCGCCATCTGTGTAAACACAGAGTAGGACACCCGCCGGGCTCGGACCAGCCGGACGCAGAGCAGTGTTAACACCGTCAGAGATCATTGATTGATCGATAAAGATTAAGCAATCCAAAAGGTGGCACGGGCATGAATAGCCCGTAAGTGGAGGCACTTTGGAGCCATTACCAATAGCTGATACTGGAGATCTGTAAATGGATGGATGTTTCTTTCTGAGGGGGGGGGGGGCGGTCCCGGAGGGCCAGCTATACCACCTATAGAGCCGGTGGGTTAGTGAATGCCTCTGAGGGCCAGCTATACCACCTATAGAGCCAGTGGGTTAGTGAAGGCCTCGAGGTCTTTCGTAACTTTCTTAGCGTGAGTCTTGGTGAGAGTTGAGATGGGTGTGTTGTCACTGGAGTTGGGTGATGTGGCCGCCACGAGGAGACCTTGTACGGAGGAGGGCGAGTGTGGCGGTGATGGAGCTCTTACTGAGAGTTTCTGGTCTGAGGAGTCCGTGGCGTAGTGCCTTGTTGGTGGTCTGGGTCACAGCCTGAGGTTGGCTCTGGAGTGAGGCGTTGTGGTAGGTGGTGGTTCGGTCACGTTGGTGGTGGGAGACAGCACGTCTGCGAGCGCCTTTGCTGAGACGGTGACGGTGGGAGCTTTTGGGGCTGGACTGGAGGATGCTGCTTGTGCAGCCTGAGTCTTTAGTGGAGCTGAAGTCTGAGTTGAGATCGACCTTGTGGTCGACCTTGTTGAAGTTCCCTGTGTGGTAGGGGAAGTAGTGAGAGTTGCCTCAGGGGCTGTGATGGGGTCCAGACCATTGGCTTGGTAAAACACGTTCAGTTCCCTGACTAATCGGTGGTTGTCTGGTCCGGCAAGCCTCTCCGCTGGTCATATAAGACCAGAGATAATACCGGCACGTGATGCAAGGGGCGACGAGGGTGCTGGTTGGGCCTTGGGTCCCCAGTGTGAAGGTTGGGTCGACTGGCGGCTGTTTGGTAAGACAGGACATCTCTTCTGGTTGGTTGGTGGGAGCTGAGGTGTTGGGTATAGTGTCAGGGGCTCTGGTGGCGGGGTTAGGAGGGTTGGCCTTCTTGGCTTCAACCTGGGCCTTGATTTTTTCCTGTCTGCGGGGGCAGCGGTGTGAAATTGCAGGGTGATCGTCGTTGCAGAGCAGGCAGCGATGGGTTGTTGACTTACAGATTGTTTACTGATGGTCACGGGCGCAGAGGCTGCACTTCTGGACGGGGTGCTGACACTTGTTGGTGGGGTGGGAAAGCTCGTAGCACTTGAAGCACTGTTGGAGCTCGTGATATCGTTCCTTTTTCATTTGGTGGGGCGACATGTTGATGCGGAAGCGGTAGAAGCCTTGTGTGGCAGCCTGAGTGGCCATAGTTGCTGAGGTGAACATTATCTTAGTTGTTGCTTTATCGTCACTGCAGACAACAATGGCGAACACGCCCATGTTCGGGTTTTGTGACAATATTTGTAGTGATCTCACTGTCTGTGCGGTCAGTTATCCATGGGCTGGTCCTGCTGACAAACACTCATCTTTCGGCCAGTAACTGACGTGGGTAGCTGTGATAGACGAGGTGCTCCCGGCCTAGTGGGAAATCGTAGTCCGGGAGTTTTTCCGGGTCCACCGGACTTGTGAAGAGGAGCTCAATATCCTCACCTTCCTGATGTCTGAGATGACGACCAAGTAATGGTTTTATGCGTCACCTTCCAGGAGTCACCAACACCTTACTTTGCTGTTAGTGGCCTCACACTGTGAGGGGTCACTCACGCTGTGAGGGGTCACTCACACTGTGAGGGGTCACTCACACTGTGAGGGGTCACTCACACTGTGAGGGGTCACTCACACTGTGAGGGGTCACTCACACTGTGAGGGGTCATTCACACTGTGAGGGGTCACTCACACTGTGAGAGGTCACTCACACTTGGCCTGACTCTTGTCACCCTTGTGGCAGGTGCCCGTATATACTATCTTCCTTATCACAGAGCACGTGGAAGGTCGTTATCTGATCAGTTTATTGTACCACCACCTGCCTCACCTAGCACCACCACCACCTGCCTCACCTAGCACCACCACCACCTGCCTCACCTAGCACCACCACCACCTGCCTCACCTAGCACCACCACCACCTGCCTCACCTAGCACCACCACCACCCACCTGCCTCACCTAGCACCACCACCACCTGCCTCACCTAGCACCACCACCACCTGCCTCACCTAGCACCACCACCACCTGCCTCACCTAGCACCACCACCACCTGCCTCACCTAGCACCACCACCACCTGCCTCACCTAGCACCACCACCACCTGCCTCACCTAGCACCACCACCACCTGCCTCACCTAGCACCACCACCACCTGCCTCACCTAGCACCACCACCACCTGCCTCACCTAGCACCACCACCACCTGCCTCACCTAGCACCACCACCACCTGCCTCACCTAGCACCACCACCACCTGCCTCACCTAGCACCACCACCACCTGCCTCACCTAGCACCACCACCACCTGCCTCACCTAGCACCACCACCACCTGCCTCACCTAGCACCACCACCACCTGCCTCACCTAGCACCACCACCACCTGCCTCACCTAGCACCACCACCACCTGCCTCACCTAGCACCACCACCACCTGCCTCACCTAGCACCACCACCACCTGCCTCACCTAGCACCACCACCACCTGCCTCACCTAGCACCACCACCACCTGCCTCACCTAGCACCACCACCACCTGCCTCACCTAGCACCACCACCACCTGCCTCACCAGCACCACCACCCATAGACTTCAACGCCTCCTGTGTTATGTGTACTCACCCTCCTGTGTTGTGTGTACTCACCTATTTGTGCTTGCGGGGGTTGAGCTCTTTGGTCCCGCCTCTCAACCGTCAATCAACAGGTGTACAGGTTCCTGAGCCTACTGGGCTCTATCATATCTACACCTGAAACTGTGTATGGAGTCAGCCTCCACCACATCACTGCCTAATGCATTCCATTTGTCTATTACTCTGACACTGAAAAATTCTTTCTAACGTCTCTATGGCTCATTTGGCAACTCAATTTCCACCTGTGTTCTCTAGTGCGTGTGTGTGTGTGTGTGTGTGTACTCTCCCTCCTGTGTGTACTCTCCCTCCTGTGTGTACTCTCCCTCCTGTGTGTACTCTCCCTCCTGTGTGTACTCTCCCGTGACTGTTCGCCCGCACACACTGACCTCCTCAGTGCTGAGGAGTTCAGAGGAGACATGATTAAGACGTGACGTTATATAATCAAAGAGTAATAGTTTAGTATGGGTAAAGCGACAGGTCAGGGCACAGATGGAAGCTAAACAACCAGGGTGAGCTCTAAGCACACTAGAATGAACTTCTTAAGCGTACTTCATATTAGAAAGTACATGTTAGCACAGCCGAAGGAGGAGGGTTCTTGAGTCATTACATCAGATGACCTGAAGGTAAGAGGGCGGAGCCCAGGAGCTGAGGCTCCTTCTCCACAAACTCCCACAGGTAGACCTCTCAGTACCTCTGTCAACATGAGTAGTACACAAATGTTCAGACACACCACGGCAGGTGAGCTGTGTGTTAGGTAAGTTACCTGAAGTGTTGACGGCAGGTGTGTGCTGGAGCAGGTGTGTGCTGGAGCAGGTGTGTGCTGGAGCAGGTGTGTGCTGGAGCAGGGTCGGGCCGTGAGAGAACACTCACCTGCTCGGCAACACTTAATATAACCTACTGAAAGGTGGGATGTCACGAGACCCGCTCCTCTGATTGGCTGCTGCTATATTAATGCTCGCGCCTCATTGGCTGCCTCGATGTCCACCCTCGCAGCTATTTGGCACGATGACATCCACCCTCGTGTATGATTGGCTGGGAGTGTGTCATCCTCCCGCTCACCCGGCGGCCATGACACGCCACAGATAAAGTCCCACCTCGAGACCTCGCGGTAATCGCTCACTAAAACAAACCCACAACTGCTTTATTGGATTTATGTAATAAAATTGATGTTATTTATATAGCAGCCTTCAGTGAGTCACTTATTAGTCATAGAGAGTAATAAATGTTACAGGAATTACTGTATTGTAAGGCTTAATACAGCTAGATTAATTTATTGTAATTATTTCCAGTGGTAAATAATTTAATAAATGAGTCCTGCAATAATGGCGTAACATTACTTGACAAAAATTGCCTTTGCAAAGTGCAATATTTTTCTATCCTTTTTATTTCTTAATTTGTGTTTAACTAATCAATTAAAATATTCTAAAGATATTACTTATATAGACATTGGTTATATCATTGGTTACATAGAGAGCACGAGTATTGTTACACCATTGGTAACATAAATCAGACAGGATTGGTTGCATCATTGGTTACATAGAGATAACAAGATTGGTTACACCATTGGTTACATTGAGAGTACTCGATTGGTTACATCATTGGTTACATTGAGAGTACTCGATTGGTTACATCATTGGTTACATAGAGAGCACAGGATTGGTTACACTATTGGTTACATAGAGATCACAGGATTAGTTACACCATTGGTTACATAGAGAGCACAAGATTGGTTACACCATTGGTTACATAGAGATCACAGGATTGGTAACACCATTGGCTACATAGAGAGCACAGGATTGGTTACATAGAGAGCACAAGATTGGTTACACCATTGGTTACATAGAGAGCACGAGTATGGTTACACCATTGGTAACATAAATCAGACAGGATTAGTTGCATCATTGGTTACATAGAGATAAAAAGATTGGTTACACCATTGGTTACATTGAGAGTACTCGATTGGTTAGATCATTGGTTACATTGAGAGTACTCGATTGGTTACATCATTGGTTACATTGAGAGCACAGGATTGGTTACACCATTGGTTACATAGAGATCACAGGATTAGTTACACCATTGGTTTCATACAGATCACAGGATTGGTTACACCATTGGTTACATAGAGAGCACAGGATGGGTTACACCATTGGCTACATAGAGAGCACAGGATTGGTTACACCATTGGTTACATAGAGAGCACAAGATTGGTTACACCATTGGTAACATAGCGAGCACAGGATTGGTTACACTATTGGTTACATAGAGATTACAGGATTGGTTACACCATTGGTTACATAGAGAGCACAGGATTGGTTACACCATTGGCTACATAGTGAGCACAGGATTGGTTACACCATTGGTTACATAGAGAGCACAGGATTGGTTACACCATTGGTTACATAGAGAGCACAAGGTTGGTTACACCATTGGTAACATAGCGAGCACAAGATTGGTTACACCATTCGTTACATAGAGAGCACAGGATTGGTTACACCATTGGTTACATAGAGAGCACAAGGTTGGTTACACCATTGGTTACATAGAGATCACAGGATTGGTTACACCATTGGTTACATAGAGAGCCCAAAAGGCCTGGTAAACTCTAGAGGTCCATCGTGGTAAAGTTCTGGTAACATTTCCCAGGATACAACCTCAACAGATGACTAACTCATGAGTGCCTATTTTCTACTGGGTGAACAGAGAAATCAGGAAAAAGCAAACGCGACCTACCGTCTCCAAAGCACACGGGAATCGATCCCGGGATTCTTGCTTGCGAGCAGACAACTTACGCTGCAGCATGAAGACCAGTGGTCGACCATCCACAGTAGACCAGTGGTCGACCATCCACAGTAGACCAGTGGTCGACCATCCACAGTAGACCAGTGGTCGACCATCCACAGTAGACCAGTGGTCGACCATCCACAGTAGACCAGTGGTCGACCGTCCACAGTAGACCAGTGGTCGACTGTCCACAGTAGACCAGTGGTCGACTGTCCACAGTAGACCAGTGGTCGACCGTCCACAGTAGAACAGTGGTCGACCGTCCACAGTAGAACAGTGGTCGACCATCCACAGTAGACCAGTGGTCGACCATCCACAGTAGACCAGTGGTCGACCATCCACAGTAGACAGTGGTCGACCGACAGTGGTCGACTGTCCACAGTAGACCAGTGGTCGACTGTCCACAGTAGACCAGTGGTCGACCGTCCACAGTAGAACAGTGGTCGACCATCCACAGTAGACCAGTGGTCGACCATCCACAGTAGACCAGTGGTCGACTGTCCACAGTAGACCAGTGGTCGACCATCCACAGTAGACCAGTGGTCGACCATCCACAGTAGACCAGTGGTCGACCGTCCACAGTAGACCAGTGGTCGACCATCCACAGTAGAGTGGTCGACCGTCCACAGTAGACCAGTGGTCGACCATCCACAGTAGACCAGTGGTCGACCATCCACAGTAGACCAGTGGTCGACCATCCACAGTAGACCAGTGGTCGACCATCCACAGTAGACCAGTGGTCGACCATCCACAGTAGACCAGTGGTCGACCTTCCACAGTAGACCAGTGGTCGACCATCCACAGTAGACCAGTGGTCGACCGTCCACAGTAGACCAGTGGTCGACCGATCCACAGTAGACCAGTCGGTCCACAGTAGACCAGTGGTCGATCCACAGTAGACCAGTGGTCGACCATCCACAGTAGACCAGTGGTCGACCATCCACAGTAGACCAGTGGTCGACCATCCACAGTAGACCAGTGGTCGACCATCCACAGTAGACCAGTGGTCGACCATCCACAGTAGACCAGTGGTCGACCATCCACAGTAGACCAGTGGTCGACCATCCACAGTAGACCAGTGGTCGACCATCCACAGTAGACCAGTGGTCGACCATCCACAGTAGACCAGTGGTCGACCATCCACAGTAGACCAGTGGTCGACCATCCACAGTAGACCAGTGGTCGACCATCCACAGTAGACCAGTGGTCGACCATCCACAGTAGACCAGTGGTCGACCGTCCACAGTAGACCAGTGGTCGACCGTCCACAGTAGACCAGTGGTCGACCATCCACAGTAGACCAGTGGTCGACCATCCACAGTAGACCAGTGGTCGACCATCCACAGTAGACCAGTGGTCGACCATCCACAGTAGACCAGTGGTCGACCATCCACAGTAGACCAGTGGTCGACCGTCCACAGTAGACCAGTGGTCGACCATCCACAGTAGACCAGTGGTCGACCGTCCACAGTAGACCAGTGGTCGACCATCCACAGTAGACCAGTGGTCGACCATCCACAGTAGACCAGTGGTCGACCATCCACAGTAGACCAGTGGTCGACCATCCACAGTAGACCAGTGGTCGACCATCCACAGTAGACCAGTGGTCGACCATCCACAGTAGACCAGTGGTCGACCATCCACAGTAGACCAGTGGTCGACCATCCACAGTAGACCAGTGGTCGACCGTCCACAGTAGACCAGTGGTCGACCATCCACAGTAGACCAGTGGTCGACCATCCACAGTAGACCAGTGGTCGACCATCCACAGTAGACCAGTGGTCGACCATCCACAGTAGACCAGTGGTCGACCGTCCACAGTAGACCAGTGGTCGACCATCCACAGTAGACCAGTGGTCGACCATCCACAGTAGACCAGTGGTCGACCATCCACAGTAGACCAGTGGTCGACCATCCACAGTAGACCAGTGGTCGACCGTCCACAGTAGACCAGTGGTCGACAGTAGACCAGTGGTCCACAGTAGACCAGTGACCATCCACAGTAGACCAGTGGTCGACCATCCACAGTAGACCAGTGGTCGACCGTCCACAGTAGACCAGTGGTCGACCGACCGTCCACAGTAGACCAGTGGTCGACCATCCACAGTAGACCAGTGGTCGACCATCCACAGTAGACCAGTGGTCGACCATCCACAGTAGACCAGTGGTCGACCATCCACAGTAGACCAGTGGTCGACCATCCACAGTAGACCAGTGGTCGACCATCCACAGTAGACCAGTGGTCGACCATCCACAGTAGACCAGTGGTCGACCATCCACAGTAGACCAGTGGTCGACCATCCACAGTAGACCAGTGGTCGGTCCACAGTAGACCAGTGGTCGACCATCCACAGTAGACCAGTGGTCGGTCCACAGTAGACCAGTGGTCGACCGTCCACAGTAGACCAGTGGTCGACCATCCACAGTAGACCAGTGGTCGACCATCCACAGTAGACCAGTGGTCGACCATCCACAGTAGACCAGTGGTCGACCATCCACAGTAGACCAGTGGTCGACCATCCACAGTAGACCAGTGGTCGACCATCCACAGTAGACCAGTGGTCGACCATCCACAGTAGACCAGTGGTCGACCATCCACAGTAGACCAGTGGTCGACCATCCACAGTAGACCAGTGGTCGACCATCCACAGTAGACCAGTGGTCGACCATCCCACAGTAGACCAGTGGTCGACCATCCACAGTAGACCAGTGGTCGACCATCCACAGTAGACCAGTGGTCGACCATCCACAGTAGACCAGTGGTCGACCATCCACAGTAGACCAGTGGTCGACCATCCACAGTAGACCAGTGGTCGACCATCCACAGTAGACCAGTGGTCGACCATCCACAGTAGACCAGTGGTCGACCATCCACAGTAGACCAGTGGTCGACCATCCACAGTAGACCAGTGGTCGACCATCCACAGTAGACCAGTGGTCGACCATCCACAGTAGACCAGTGGTCGACCATCCACAGTAGACCAGTGGTCGACCATCCACAGTAGACCATCCACAGTAGACCAGTGGTCGACCATCCACAGTAGACCAGTGGTCGACCATCCACAGTAGACCACCATAGACCAGTGGTCGACAGTAGACCAGTGGTCGACCATCCACAGTAGACCAGTGGTCGACCG